ACTCGCATCCCACCCCACTCGCATCCCACCCCACTCGCACCCCACCCCACTCGCATCCCACCCCCTGTGACCTACTTCCTCCCTGAATGCTCCACCTGCTAAAGATTCCACAGTCTTCCAAAACAGCGCCACTTGCTGGGGGCCAAGCGTTCAAACCTAGTTGCCCATGGGGGCAGTTCACATTCAAACCACTGCAGGTCATGGCTTCTCATCACACTTTTAAACCCACAGAATGTACGAGACAGAAAGCGAACCCTGATGATGGATGCTCATTAGCAACACCAGATGTAAAAAATTATGGGGAGACAGAGGCAAGTTGGGGTGTGTGGGGTCCTACCACTCTACGGTCAAGTTTCCTATTACCTTAAACTGCACTAAGAAAGCAAGCCTGATTGTTATAAAGAAACCCATGATCATCTCCATTATCACCAGAACAGTACATTCAAAAGTGAAATTAATTTTTTTAGCATGTGAATAACATAAGATTTATGATATTCACTCTGAGAGAGGTGCGAGAAAACAGACATACGCTTCAGACAAAATTCAAAACGGAAGAATACTCTGGAGAACTACTTTTGTACTGATGAAACTTAAATGTACTTCACCCTGAAACCAAGGGAATTTTGCTTCTGATGGAGACCCTGCCGACGAGTAGCTGCACAAATGTGTGATACATTTGATAGTAATCACACAGACGTGTGCGTAGCATGTGGCTGCTGTCTGGTGTCGTCTGTGCAGCCCAAGACCTGAAGCCCGAGTCTTAGGAGACAGTGGCTCCTTCCCAGCCTGCCTTGCAGCTGCTGAGGAGTGGGCAGTGGGAACTTGGTGAGGGCGAACGCTGCCTCTTCTCTCAGCATCGAGTGGAAGGATGGTGGTGATGGCTTCAAGTCAGGTGGCCTGAAGAGTACAGTTCAGCAAGAACTGAAGACTGACATGTAAATTAGGGTGCACATCGACCTAGTTCAGTCCTCGGAATCTCCTTTTTCCTGTAGTCACAATTCAATAAGGTTTGCGATGATGGAATTTTCGTAATTCAACAAAGTGGTCAAGAACCATCTTTGCGTTGTGTGGTGGCAGCCGCCTCTAGGCTACACTAAACTAATGGCATGTCCCGGTGCAGCAGGCAGAGTGCAGCTGGCCGCCTGTGTTTAACACACAGTCTCACTGGAGCACAGGCATGCATACCCGGGGTGTGAGAGAGAGAGAGTGTGTGTGTGTGTGTGTGTGTGTGTGTGTGTGTGTGTGTGTGTGTATGTGTGTATGTATGTATGTATGTATTGACTAGCTCTCAACTGTAGCTGGCCGCCTGTGTCCAGTCTCACTGGAGCAGGGCCACACTTGTTCATGTGTGTCGACCGACTCTCTGACAGATACCCTGTGGCCTCTCGCTGCTCCCGACAGCTGCAGTCATGATGCACCTGAGAAAGGACTGAGAGCATCTGTCACTGTGAGCATCTGTCATGCTGAACCTGGTTCTTTCCTGTCTTTACAGCGGCCTTGGCATGAGTATGAACACAACTTTCAGATTATGTACAAAGTGGGAATGGGACACAAACCACCGATCCCTGAAAGGCTAAGCCCTGAAGGAAAGGACTTCCTCTCGCACTGCCTGGAAAGTGACCCAAAGATGAGATGGACAGCCAGCCAGCTCCTCGACCACGCTTTTGTCAAGGTTTGGCCGATTGCTGAAGTTACCCTCTTCAGGGTTAAACACTTCAGTTCAGTTTTGCATCTGGCACAAGAAATCTGGAAACCTAAACATAAAATACTTATATCTAAAATAGACAAGAAGTAAATGTCCTAAAGTGGACAGGAACTAAGTGTCTTAATGTATCAGAGATTTGATTTCAGCTAGTCAATGTTCACTGAGGCCCTTCTACACGATCCGTTGGGACATTGGAAGCACACTTGAGGAGATGGTTGAGTGGATTTTAAAGAGATGAGCGTAGTTCTTGCCCTTGAGATGTGTGGTCAGCCTGGACCTGGCATTGTGTTAAGAGCCGTGATGAAGGTGTATGTGACTTGTAGGGGACTGAAGATTTGTAACTGGAAACCTGGAGTCTCTGAGACAGGGTGTGGCTAGGCAGGAAGGGCAGACAAGGTGTCAGGCGTGGAGAGGCTGGTGGGGGTAGAGCCACTGAGGAGCTCCGTGTGAGTGAGGTAGGAGGAGGGGCCCAGGGTGCTGGAAGTGGTGGGAGACAGGCAGGCTGGGAAAGATGCAGGAGCGGCACAGAGGGATCAGTTAACCAGCAGAATGTGGCTGATGGCCCCTCAGCCAGGCTTCTTCAAGGACGCCACACTGCAGGCTGAGGATTGGCCAGCAGAGTGTGGCTCTCGGCGATATTGAGGAGTTGGAATGACCCTGGCTGAGGAGCAGGTTAGAGGTGTCTAGGGTGGCCCCACCCTCCAGCTTGTTGAGTCATGAAGATTGCCTCGACCACAGTAGAGCCAAAGGGCAGCAGGTTGAGGGCCAGTCTGGGCATTGACGGCCTCTTTGGGAAGGTCAGTTCCAAGTTTGTTTGGAACACTCGCTTGGGCTTTCGGTGGGTGCTTGCTCGCTTGGGGCTGGCGGTCAAGGGATTGCCACAGTAAGTGGACTGTAGCAGAGGATGGGAAATGTGTTGCTGGGGATGTGTCAGGAGTGTGGGGATGGTGATGAGAAGAACATGCCGCTGAGCGGGACCCTGCCCAGGAGCCCCTGGTGGAAGGCCCGAGGGTGGGGCCTGGGCTTCTGCACGTGGACTGGTAACGAAGGAACAGGGGTTCTCAGCTGTAAACTAGATGAACGGTGTTGCCCCGGGATTATACATATGAGGAGGGAAGCCTGAGAGCAGACCTGCCATCTGTCTGTTTCCCAAGGCTTCCTCACATGTCGCGGCTGGTGCCTCGCCTGTGGGCCGGAGCCGAGCATAGGCACACGGGCACACACATGAACGTGCTTGCACCAGCAGAGGCCCAGCTGTCTCTCTTGCTTCCTCACAGGTTTGCACCGACGAAGAGTGACGCTCACCAGCCCGTGGCCTGGCAATGTGCGGACAGAGTCCCCCGGTCACGACCGTATGTAATATTTACATGAAGACTGCCGAGCGAGCTAGCGAGCGAGCGAGCGCAGCCTCCTTAGCCTCCGAGAGAGACCGAAGCCCGCCCAGGTGACCGACCGCCTCACTGCTGCTGCTCCTGTCTGTCGTCCGGGACACAGGACCCTCGAGGGACAGTGCCGAGGAGACTAACGAAGCTGCGTGTCAAGTGCCATTACTACTGTACACGGACCGTCGCCCCCGTCCCTCACGGGACCGAGAACCACGACATCGGTGTCGTGTCTTGGAGCTTCTGGGGTTCAGGAGAACATGTGGTGTTGTCAGGTGTCCAGGACCTCGTTTGAATCTCCCGTTTGTTGAGTGCTCTCTCTGACTGTGAAACCTCCTTGTCGACAAGCTGCAGCTTTGGTATTCAAAGGCTCGTGAGTGAGACTGAAGAAAAGGCTCTTTTTCAATAAATGGTTTATTTTAGGAAAGCTAAGTCAGTGTCTCTTACTGGCTCCAAGTTAAGAGCTAGCAGGATGGGGAGTGGGGGGTCTGTCACTCGCCTCTGTGTTCCTCAGTAGAAACGGCAGCGGCGCAGGCAAGCTTACCCAGCGGGACACCAAGCCAGGTGTGTCCCGCCTGCAGCGTGTGAGCCTGTGCGTCTCGGGGCTCTGAGCGTGGCTCCGCGTTTGCAGGTGGCGGCGTATCACCGTGTTTAAGACTGGACACACCGTGTTTAAGATCGCCAGGTTGCCGACAAGCGAAGGGATGCTGATGATGCCGGTGGCCCTGCTCGGCTCTTAGAACAGTCAGCAATCCATAGCGGGGGCTTGGACCTTGTCCCGTGCTGGAGCCCGGGTGTTGCTGGGTGTGTAGAAGCTGGGGCAGGGGACAGTGGGGCAGGGGGCAGCTTCCCCAAGTCTCTTTAGATCCCAGACTTCCTCCCTGCACATAGCAGCCAACCCCAGCTGGGTTCTCAAGGGTTTCTGGTCTCTTCCGCCAAGAGATGAATGCCGACGAGGATATACAGGTGTTAGGATTTGAAAGTGTTCTTGTGTAGTCTTTTAAGTTATAATTTACATTACGTAAAGGGTTCACTTTGTATCCTAGTTGCAGAGCTGTAGACCTGTTTCACAGTCTAGTTCTAGAACCTTCCCATGTCCCTCCTGTCTGTGTGCAGCTATTAAGCTACTTCCTGCCTGGAATTTGCCCACCGTGGGCATTCTGTCTAAGTAAGATCTTACAGCGTGGTGGTCTCTGTGCCCTCTCACCTGGTGTTTTCCCAAAGTTGTCACGACGGAGCATGTGCCAGCACGTCTTTGTTTTCAGTGCAAGGCCCTGTCCCACTGTACGCACATACGTACGTACATATATACGTACGTGCCGCCTGCTTTCTCTATCGGTGCGCGTGTGGATGGGCAGTGGACTGCACCTCTGTTGGGATGTTTGCTTGAACACACAGGTATTTGCGTGGGCGTGCATGTCTCAGGAGACGGGAGTGCTGAGCTGTGTGGTCAGTCTGCGTTCATTTTCAGAAACTTCTGAGCTTTTCCAAAGGAACTATATCATCTCATTGCCTCCAGCCGCTGTGAGGCTTTTGGTCCCTGTCCCCTCCCTGCTGACATACCCTTCGGCAGTGGCCTTGCCAGTGATGGTGAAGCGGGCTTCCCTGTGGTGTTGGTGTGTGTTCCTCTAGTAATGGTGAGAGTTTTGATCCCAGTGCCTGTTGGCCATTCGTGAAACTCTTGTCTCTCGAGATATGTAGATAGAGCCACTTACTGTTTGTGTGCGTATGTGCTTGTGTGTGTGTGTCTGTCTGTCTGTCTCTCAAGATATGTAGATAGATTCACTTATTGTTTGCGTATGTGCTTATGTGTGTGTGTGTCTGTCTGTCTCTCGAGATATGTAGATAGAGCCACTTACTGTTTGTGTGCATATGTGCTGGCATCTCTGTGTGTTTGTATGTGTCTGTCTGTCGCAGCACATGTGTGGACAACATGTGTGGACAACAGGACAGATTGCCGGAGTCAGTCAGTACTCTCCTCCCACCATATGGGTCCCGGGGCACTGTCCTCAGGTCCTAAGACTTGGTGGCAGGCCCCTTTGCCCACGGAGCCATCTTGCTGGCCCACTCATGCCTCCTCCTTAGGGAAATGCCTATTCGGATATTTTGCCAGTTTTAGAATTAGCTTCTTTGCCATCTTGCTGAGTTGTGTTTAGTTGTTTTTTTTTTTTTTTTTAACATGCTCTTGAGTAAACCTCCTTTACCTAATCTGTGGTGGAAAGGTGTCTTTTCCCCTGTCTGTGGTTTATCTTGTCTTTTATTTTCTTTGTAGTGTCTGTGAGAACCAAAAAGTTTATTTTTTTAGAGTGGTGACCGGCAGCGCCTCCACCACAGCCCAGCCTCTTCTGTGCTGTGCACTGAGCCCTGAGGAGGCCTGAGGTGCCAGAGAGGGAGCCAATGCCAACTCATCCCAAGCCCCACCTGTTTACATCTGCCTGCCTTTGCTCTTCAGATGCTGCACTTCCAACTACTTGATGATGAACTCGGGGAGAAAGAACAGGTGCCTCACCGGCAGCCTCAGACCCCAGAGGTCCGTCTTCCCCCTTTCAACCTCCAATTCAGATGCGAATCATTCCATTCAGATGCAGCGCACAGCTCTCCTCCAGACAGCTGCAGCCCCATGATCTGCTTTTCTTCTTAACCGTTCTTCTGGTAGGCCTGGGAACCTGCATGGTGCTTTGGTGAAGACGGGCCCATCCCAGAGAACCCAGCAGCCGCCTCGGTCCACTGCTTTCATCTCTATGGACAAGCTGGGAAGCCAGTGTTGAGCCTGCTCTGCCCTGCTCTGCCCGGACCAGACAGTACCACTGGAGTTTATATTTTGATCACTCTTTCAGACCCCAGTGAGCATAAAGGAAGATGTTGATGTGGCAATGTTTTGAACATCCTGTTCCCTTTCCAAGGTTTTTAATTTAGAAATGAAGCAGTCAAGATATATGCCAGGTCCATGTTAGCACACGGAAAAAGCTGACTGAAAACCTAATGGGACAGACTCCCAGTGAACCTTGATACTCCTGTGGCCATTGTGTTAGGATTCTTTCAGAGGACCCCCGCACATTCCCCCCTCTGCATCAAGGGAACAGGGTCAGGCACACCATCACACAGCACTGTTCTTCAGGGAGGTCAAGTAGCTGAGGTACCGGCTGCTGGGGGGTCCCTGCTACATACCTTCTTTGCTTTTGTGTTCTGAGGCCATCCAGAACACCATCACCCACCCAGTGTTCCTAAAATGTCTCTGACCTGGCACCAAAGGCCAGATCAAAAAGACGAGTTGTAGCACCGTCCAGTTCTTTCCGAGTACTTTGAGAAGTTGCAGAATGGAGGCCGCCTTTCATTCCTTCACCTGATTGGTTAATGACCCTACCTCCTCAAAGCAAGCCTCTCTCGGTACCCTTGCAGCAACGCAAGAGGAGCATCTCTCCCAATGACTGATGGTCAGCTGGGCTCATGAAGGTCTGTACGCTGGATGGACGGATGGCTTAACCAAGCTCCGCAAGCACCACAGCTCGTACCTAGCTCAGGTCCCAGCCGGTGGCCTTAGGATCCAGGGGAGGCCTTCCGGGATATTCACAAACAGCCTCTGCAACCCCGGGTTCCCCTGAAGAGTAGTGTCCAGCCTTCTCCACGCATCTCTGGGCCTCATGGCTGGGCAGATGCACTGTGGGAACTCAGCCTCCAGGCTCGCTCTGCCCCACAGAAAGCCAGAATGCGGTGGTCTGTTTTCTGCTAACTCAGACTCATTTGTATCGATAATACATTGCTGTCCCTTAAACAGAAAGGGTTCTAGAACTCTGGTCACTCCTTGGCTCTTGAAGGTAAGTCATGTGGACGACATTTAGTGACTGGGTGCGCAAGCATCTGTCTGCAGTGACTTTGGAGAGGATGTGCCTTTGGTGGGCCATACGGCCATCTTCTCTAGTGGGGGCTTGTACCAGGGGGTGTGTGGCTACACACAGGTGTCAGTCCAGGCATTGCTGGCCTCTCCATCTAAGGCACTGGTTTTCAGCCTTCCTAATGCTGTGACCCTTTGATACACTTCCTCATGTTGTGGGCATCCCCCCCCCATAAAATTATTGTCCTTGCTGCTTCATAACTGTAATTTTGCTGTTATGAATTGTAACGTAAATATCTGTGTTTTCCGATGGTCTTCAGTGACCCCAAAGGGGTCGAGACCCACAGGTTGAGAACCACTGCTCTAAGAGGCCACTGTCTAGTGTTGCACTGATCCCTTCCGGAGCACGGCCACCTTTCCCTCTTGCTGTGTTTGCATCTGGCCTCTGTTGACTGCTCTCAGACTGCAGACGTGCCAATCCCTTTCATGTTACAACAGGAGCCAACCAAAAGCCCAGTGGGGTAAGCAGAGCCCCCCGGGTTGGGCTCCCCTGTGGGGTGTGGCTCCTTAGTAAGTACCCACACACAAGCTGAAAAGGAAGGTAGTATCATTTTGTAAATGACCCTGCCTTTGTTTCTAGGGCTTCCCAACTCCTGTGACTGTTTTTGATATTTTGGTAACATTCAGTTTCAAAATCAGCTTAAGTCCTTCAAGACTAGTGGGTGCCATTTCAGCAAGACTGGGAAACCAATGCTCTTCTCCACTGGCCCCTCTCTGTGTCTCGGGGAAGCCCTCCGCTGGTCTCCAAGCGCCTTGGTCTTTACCCTTGCTCAGAGGGGCTTCCACATCCCCATCTCTTACAGGCAACATCCCTGCACTGGCATACTGTGGTGATTAATGCTGCTTGCCAACTTGACAGGATCTAGGATCGCCTGGGAGGCCAGCCTCTGGCTGTGCCTGTGCAGGTAACCTAGATCAGAACAGCCACGGTGGGCAGGCAGGCCCACCTAGCCATGGGCTGGGGTCCTGAACGAGAGAATGCGCCAGCATTCATCTCTGCCACTTTCTGACGTTGAGCAGGCTCCCTGTGCTCCCCACCGTGACAGATTGTGTCCTTGAACTGCGAGCCAGAACCAACCCTTCCTTACACGGATGTTCAGTATTCTGTTACACTGACAGGTCGTTTGGGGGGGGGGGTCCTCATTAACATGTCTTGTATGAATCTTTACTCAAGACCCTAGCAGTCCCCGACCAGGATCACAGTTGTTGAGTAGCCGCTGTCTGGAATACCAAATCGAGGGCAGAGGAGAGAGAGGAACATCTGTGTAAACACGTGCCACAGACAACCCAGACAAACACTTTAATTTTTTTTTCCTTATTTGGAGGCATAATTTAGTCATCTTACCTAAAGCACTGTTCAGTCTGTCTCTGGCAATCGAGGGTTAGAGAAGACGCAGCACCACGGGATGGGGATGACAGGGACACCTTCCCTTCCACCCCAGCCCCACCCTTCCCTGCAGCCTCATAGACCCTGCTGCCACAGGGTCGCAAGTGTACAGGCGGCCATCCTCCTTTCCGCATCTCTCTCTCTCTCTCTCAC